AGCGCGATGCGTTACTGTGCCGCGCCGCGCACTCAATAAGGCTTCTCACAGCGACATAGTCGAGATGCGCTACTGTGCCGCGCCGAGCTGCCATGAATTGACATCGTCAATTAAGATTTGATAGTACCATACGTTGTATGACCCGCCACGCACTCTTCCGCGGCTCCCCTGTTTCGTAGAAAATTTACTATAGTGAAACGAGAATGGGGGGTCACGGTGTGATACAAATTTGATATATCATCCCAAAAATATTACTGACCAAGCCGGTTTGCTATCCGATAAAACACTAGACCTTACAAAATATACTGCCACAGCAAGCGCAATCAATTCAATTCTCTCTGTGAACGAACAATTTACAGCCTACTGTAAGAGGCCAGATTTCCACTCAAATACTGGCCAATGCATAATGCTATAGGACCTCAAAATAAGATCGAAATCTACAAATCCGATCTATTCATATATCATAATGGAAGCAATATACAACCAGCACCAAGATTTTTTTGATGATCAGGAAAAACTAGTAGAGATCAAGACTGAAATCCGAAAATCAAGGGAAGAGTTTTTCAAGGAGAGAAAAGAAGAGGTTACAAATGACCTGAATGAAACCCAAAAATTGCAATTAGATCTTACATCAGAGAAAGGGGCAAGTTCCTGGCTTTCGTCACTCCCGCTCAAATCATTCGGATTCTGTCTCAACAAGCAAGAATTCAATGATGCCCTAGCCCTAAGGTACAACTTTGGGATAAAAGATGCTGCAAGAAAATGTGTATGTGGAAGTGACAACTCAATAAACCACTCATTAATATGCAAAAGGGGTGGATATGTATCTCTTCGCCACAACTCATTGAGGGATGTGATAGCAGAGCTATTAGAAACTGCTGGCTGTAAAGATGTTACCACTGAACCTCTCCTCATTCCTGTCAACGGGAGAGAACTTCCTGCAGGGGCCAACAAAGCAGATGGAGCTAGATTAGATGTTAGTGCTAGGAGTGTATGGAACCCATTGGAAAGGGCATTTTTAGATGTAAGAGTATTTCATGCTCAAGCTCCTTCCAATAAGGCTCTTGGATCTCCAACCACTATGTACAATAGCCACGAGAGACAGAAAAAGAATTTATACAATAAAAGGATTGTAGAAGTGGAACATGGGACGTTTACACCGATAGTCCTATCAACCACTGGGGGTATGGGAAGGGAAGCTAATAAGTTCTTCAAGAAATTAGCGGATAAACTTTCTAGGAAATCAGGCCAACGATATAGTGAGGCAATGACATTTATTAGGAAGAGAGTAAGATTTGACCTTTTGAGAACAACAGTCATAGCTCTTAGAGGAGAGAGAGGGTTAAAAAGTAGTAGTGCAGTAAAAATAGCAGAATTAGATATAAATTTGGAGCCAGTTCTTTAAACTGGCTTACTTATACTACTTAAAGGGTGTTTATAAATTTTATTTAGTTTTCTATTGAATTTATATTGAATTTTTATATAGGGTAATTGTTATATTATGTGTATATTGTTTGACTTGCTGATATATCATAATGGAAAAATACTATTTTAAAACATTTCTATTTTATCCCTACACATTTGTAAATAACTAGAGAAAAGACAATTTTTTGAGAACTGTGTAACCTTAAATTATTTCAGAATTATAACTATTGTGAATTCAATAAAATAATTATCACTTTTGTATTCTTGTATCCTTGTATCCTTGTATCCTATCAAATATTATATTAATATATCAAGTATTAATTATATTCATTACGAAATGAAATTGACAAGTTATGCAAATTATTCGGTGGGCAAATATAATTAACATTTTTGAACTAAGATTGAATCGAGCGCTTCAAAAGTTTAGCTTTCTTAATTTTCTTTGTTTGTGTATTCGATAGTTTGCATGAAGTTTTGCTTCATGTACCGACTAGTATAGCTGGTTGACGGGTATATGCTATTACAAATTGTAGACTCAGATTTAATTGTGTTGAACTAATATGCTACTTCGCAATTGGCAATTGATATGTCATTTAAAACTTCAATAATGATAGGTCAGGGGAGCACCCTGATAGCGGTCAGGGGTGAGAGAGGGAGACGGCAATCGTATACATTGCCAATCAGTGTAACTTCGTTTAACTTGATACCTGCCACCATGGACTATGAATGTTTCTAGACACTATCCTTTTGATATTGAGATATTGGTATCTCAGATCACGTGTACATCGTTCCTTTTTTTTTAATGACACAGTAATTTATTGACACTCACAGCTATAATTTTAATCATTGAATCAGTATTTTTATCTGTGCTCTGCGTAATGCATCACATGAATCAGTTTTTTAATCTATTAACTTATTACACATTTGTGCTCTGCTTTAGCATCACTTGACTATTTAAAAAATTGTTTGTTCAGGCCATGACTTTATAGTCAGCCAATTGGCCATTGCTATATTATGTGTATATTGTTTGAATATTCTCTTTTAATAATGATAGGTCAGTCCTACGGCATTATCACATCACAGGCCGTTTCTCTCGCCAACGAATCGAATTCGCTTCGTAGGCTTCAATTTTATTTTGAGGTCCTACAGCATTATGCCAGTATTTGAGTGGAACTCCGGGCTCTTAAAATAGGCTGTATATTGTTCGTTCACAATTGGCAATTTTTCCTTCATATTATGACTGATTTTGGTGGAGGGCCAGGGGTTCCTCTAATAAACTAATTCAATTCTATTTCACGATTTAACGTGTGTTTTTATTAAATTTATCATTTCTGATTGAACATTTCAATTCATGATTGAAATTTTAAAAAAATTCATGATTGAAATTAAATCCTAATCTTGTTGTTATTCTAGTGCGTAGGGATGTCAAATATTGCCACAAAGGACGATTATCACAGAGCATTTGTGACCATCGATGGCAAAAATTACAAATGTCTGGGACTTGTTGATTCTTTGCCAGATACTGGTCAGTTTAAATTTGTTGGAAAATCCACATATTCAGTGGGCTATATAGAAAGAGTGAGTAGCACTAACTGGGATGAAACAGAGGAACTCCCGAAAGATTTAGTTTGCCGAAATTGGGTACAAACAACACATTTCGATAACGAGTAAAAGATTGGAGTACAATGCAGGGCGTACTTGATGTACACATCATGTGTGTACACAAATAGCAGACATAACTTGAGTGTAAATATTTAGTCCAGTTAACCTTACATTCAATGTAAGTTACATTGGTGTGAAATTCATTTATTGTTGGTTAACAATGTTTGGGAAATTTAAATCAGAGCAGAATTTTTTTCAATAATTTGACATTGCTTGTTCTATGTCATAATTTTTAGAAGAGCAGCAATATCTGGGAGATTTTCATTTAGCTTTTCATATTATTGATTTTGTAGTTTTCGATTGACTTGAATGTCCTGCACAGCAGATTGAAGCTTCTTAAATTATTTTTTATTCTTATTGTATTGCTGTGTAAATTTGATTATAGTTCTAATTCTAATTCTAGTACAGACCTAAGTTTACAAGCTATTGATAATACAAATGTACAGCTGTATTCAGTGTATACATCTGTATGTAGACAATTGTTGTTTTCTTTTCTTGTGTATATACATAAATGAATGTAATGCTTCCTTATGTTAATATATTGTAGTGCATTTAAGTAATTTTAGTTTGTATGGATTTGTTATTTTTGTAACTTCATATTATTTTCAAATCAAATTGTAAATTTAATTACAATACCATACCATACTACACATTGAATTAGGATTCCTTTAAATATCAAATTGATTTATTGATTATTATTTTTTACTCTGTACAAAATGGCATAAAATTGAAATTTTTGTTTAACTGACATTTTTGTTTAACTGAATTCTCGAAAATATAAGTTCCAACTTCAATACATTTAACATAAATAGCAATATAATGCTTGAATTTTAATTCTTTCTAATTCTCATTAGGAATATCTTATATTGGCCTTTGGCAAGGCTAACGACAGGCACATTTATCATAGGGGACTCAGGGGAGGGGGTATAAAATAACCGTAAAATGGTCTGTACTTAATCCTCCTCGCCTCACCCTGAAATTGTTGGACAGTTGAGTATGATTTTTTATCAACCATAAAAATGGGACGGTTGTTTATCTAAGTGTACCACGTTACAAGTAACTTCTACCTCATTGGTTGTAAGTTTCTTAGCATCAAGCAAGCTTGTTTTAAATTCTAGTCAGTGCTTAGTGCAATGTTTTTACTAGACCTGCTAAACAAACAGTGAAGTGGTTTCTGTGGTGTTCACGCCTTGATACGTTTGTTTGATCAACCTTTTCCTTCTACTGTTAATTACAAACTCACTGAACTGTCATGACTTGTTCCATCCTTGATCTTAATAGTCATTTTTACTTACGTTCTCATTTAAAATTTTCCTCTTGTGCTTATATCAAAACTAGTGTTGCAGCAATTTCATTGGCATATTAAAGTAGATTAGGCACATTGAAAATAGAGATAATACCAGGAGAATGATCTCATAGTATTGTGTCAAAGTTCAAAACGCTGCCAACTTTAAATCTAACCCAGCTTTATCAAAGATGATTGCTGGACAATAGGGTTAGTAAATTGTTCGTTTTGTCTGAAATTGAGTTTTGTCTTAGTGTTTACACTACCACCACGGGATACGAAGGTGTACAATATATATATATATTTATTATATATGTATTCTCTTTCATAAATAGTGATGCCCATTGCATTATATTCTCTATCCATTTCGCCACAATATTTGCATTCATAGTTTGTCATTCAGAGTTGACAAAGTAGTGTGATTTATGTCTGTAGCGTAATGTAGTACCTTTTTTTTATCAAGCACCAGTCAGTTTCAAAAGTTAGTATCCAACTCATTGACATTCGAATGAAATGTATACACACAACATTGGAAAAGGGTATAAATTTCACTGATCTTAATTTAGGAAATTTTTACCTTAAAACATATTATTGTATTTTTCTTGATGATCAGATAACACCCAATATCTTAATTTAGCTAAGAAACAGAGATGGGTGTCGGTACGGGTCTTATGAAGACTCTGATGTTTGTCTTTAACGGCATCGTATGGGTGAGTGCATGCTTACTGATATGTAATACGAATCCAATTATGGGCAACAATATGTCATAACTTATGGTCGATAGCATACCGATAACCTCATTTTATATAAATTATAACCTCACGTGTAATGACACTACATGTGGAGTAAGTAACATCATATCTCTCTCAGGTGTTAGGTCTGGTTCTGTTCGTGGTGGGTATTGTTGTCCTGGTGGAAGGTAAGAACTGGAATGAGATCGTGGACAACAAGACTGTTCCGGTGTCAGTGATGCTGATTGTGGTGGGACTGATCATTGCTGTTGTGGGATTCCTGGGATGTTTCGGTGCTATGAAGCAGAGTGGAAACATGCTCCTTGCAGTGAGTTCTTATTTAACACATTTTATATTATATTGATCCTCATATAATATAGTTTCAGCAATATTTTTGATTTCGACAATTGATAGCTCAGTTTTTCAAGAAATTACATCAATTAAATAACTAGCAATTAAACAGCAATTAAATAAATTCTAATGTTAATCCAAACTTCAGTACTCCGTGATCCTCGGACTGATCATCATTCTCCAATGTGTTGCTGGAATCCTGGCCTTTATCTTTAGTGATGAGGTACGTTTTGTCCGTGTTTTCCACTGCTGTTATCTTTTTCTACCTCATTTACCATCCCTAATTAGTAAGTATCAATTACCCTCATTAAAACCAATTAGCGTGTAATTGTAGAGACTATTTTCTACAACGTATAGCTGGTGATACTGTCATGTTGTTGTGGTACAGTGTTTTATTATAAAATAAGAAGCACAATTTGTAGCATATATTCTGGTATGTGGTATTGTGTTCCGTGTAAGATGTTCTGAGTGTACAATGTAACGTGTTAGGACAGTAGAGTGTACTTAAATTCTCTCTCTCTCAGATAATGTACAATGTTGAGTAGTTTAATGTATAGTGTTAAGTAGTTTAATGTACAATGTTAAGTAGTTTAATGTACTATGTTGTAGTAGTTTAATGTACTATGTTGTAGTTGGTATGTCTGGTATGTGAGATCGTCCCCAGGGACTGGTTAAATTAGAGGGGTTACATTTAAAATGTCTGTTACTTGTGGCTAATAAGATGTTGTTAAGTAAACCTTGTAAACAGTCTTTCTGTCGGGAAACACTGTGTGTTTTAACTGTTAGTTTAGCGGCTGTGGCTAAAACAAACAACACACGTCATCTCACCAAAAACTACAGTAACATTAATGTGTGACGGTTTGCTGCACAGCTTTGGTCTTGCTTTTATATTGTATAAAGGCAATGAACAAGATAAGGAGCTCTAGAGATTAAAGTAGATCGGGAAAACTTTATTACCTTAATCTCAGTTACAGCTTGGAATTCAAAAGTAAAAACTCAACCTGGCAATGTTCTGACTGTAACCATGGTACCATCATTTAGATCATCTCAAACTTGTAGTGGGTATGATATCAGTTCAGTGACATTAGATGTAACATGATGTCATTTATACCTTATATGGTAGTACCTGTGGCCTTGTGCCACCCGAAATTCAATTATCTTCAATCCCTATCGTGACTCATTATAACTCGGATCAACGTCAAAATCATTGTTATCAAGATTACAGGAATCCGGGGGAATGTGACTAGTTTAATCTCCAGCTGGCTGGCCTGTTTATTTAGCTTATATAATAACAATGTTATTATATGATATTAAAGTAAGACTACAGATGTGTTACACATAACACACATACCTGCTGCTACCTGAAAACAAAATCCTCACATCTCCAGAGTCAGTGTAATTACCTCAACATTACGTAATGCTTATCAGTTGGTTGTAGTTGTTGTGTAGCGCTAATCACTTCAGTAATCACTTAATTGATCGTTTAATTACTTAATTACATGTGCCACCTTGTGAACTCTCTCTCTCTCTCTCTGTTTAGAGATAGTGTAGTGTAGAGTGTAAGGTATTTTAATGTAATAAATGTGTGTAATGTTGGTATTTCGTGTGTAATCTCTCTAAGAACTGTGTAACAATTAGTGTGTACTGTCGGAGTTTTTTGTGTGGAAATAGCCTGAATAGTGTGTGATAAGCCTGAATAGAGCGAGATAATATTGATTAAACTAATTGATGAATTATTACATTGTCACAATTTAGAGTGAGAATTACTGTGTCTCACTCAATATTACTAAACTGGTATATTGAGACAATGTTACCAGTGTGAAGGAATTTAGTACATTTTTGTGGACATATAAAAATGTAAAATTGTAAGAAGAACGCAATTAGTGAGTTAGTGGTACGTGTTAAGTGCGGGATTAAAAATAGTTTGTGCGGAAAAATGCGGAAAATAACATGTGTTTACTAACAATGTTTTCCCGCCGCAATATCAATAAATCTTTACTAATAACATCCCGAGGGTGTAAAAATCTAAAAAATCAGCTTGATATTTAATAACCTCTACTTCTTGAATTTATCTTTTTTTCCCACTCGCTGACTTTTAACCAAAAAAGAGGCTGGTTTCCAAACTCTAACTTCTTACTAAGCTTTTTAAGAGGGATTTAGCATCATAACATGTACAGACAGATGACTTAACTTCACAGAAACGTAACACTGGAACACTTACGTAACACTTACGTAACACTTACGTAACACTTACGTAACACTTACGTAACACTTACGTAACACTTACGTAACACTTACGTAACACTTACGTAACACTTACGTAACACTTACGTAACACTTACGTAACACTTACGTAACACTTACGTAACACTTACGTAACACTTACGTAACACTTACGTAACACTTACGTAACACTGCACATCTGTTGCAAACATATTACCAAAAACCCGGACTAGCCAACAACAGATAAACAAGATACGAGATTAACACAAACAGGACATGACGACTACGATGTAGCATTTCACAGACGAAACTGTACATTCTTGAAATGTTTTGTCGAGTGTGGCGTATTTGGCGGGGTGTACAAATTGCACTCGTTATTACCAGAGCGAAGAGATGATCGAGGATAGCCTGAGCTCCTTCATTAAAGATTACACTGGCTCGGATGATGTGAACACTGATCACCTTTTCAATGTGATTATGGAGGAGTTCGAGTGCTGTGGTATCAACGGATATACTGATTGGAACACAGAGTAAATTTATTTAATTCTTTTAGTGAACAATTCTATTTAAAGTAAAAATAGATTTTATTTGATTAGTTATATGAATGTTTGATAAGAATGTTTGATGATAAGAATAGAAGGCACGTTATTTAACTGAATGTATGTATTTTATTCAACAGGACAAATAAGCTGAAGTGGACCCAGAGCAACGTGCCGGATAGTTGCTGTGTAGAAATGGACGACACGTGTGGGTGGGACTACTTTGTTGAGGATGGTGCGCAGAAAGTCGAAATCAACAAAGAGGTTAGCTCGTCATATTACCTAAATTCAAATTACCTAAATGTATTGGAATGTGTTAATTTATCGTATTAAGTTTCCTTTGGGTAGGATTCCGGAGCTAAAATATCCGAAATATATGTGCCCTGTGTTGGGACTGAAGACACGCATTTGAATTGTAAGATTTGAATAGTAAGATTAGAATAATAAGATGGATTCATAATATTGACCCTTTTGTATTACCTGCCCACTCGTATATTCTGAAGAAATTGCATCACATGGCCTGGAGTATCTGAGTGTGAAGCATTGAAAACCTTTGATTTTGGTGATTTGCTTCACCTTCTAACCGTAGTTGGTAGCTAATAGCTATCATATCTGATGGCATGTGCCCCGCCTCGTTACCATTAGGGTTTCTACTTTGTTCTACCTCATTACCTCTTGTCCCACAAGTTCTTGCTTCTTGTTTTATATCCTCACTAACGTTCACACCAAACCCCAAATCTAGGGCAAGAAATTTTGGGGCGAGAGTTCGGTAATCCATTTTAAGTATTCTCACGCTATGTCTCTTAGGGGTGCCTCGCAAAGACTGTTACTGCAGTGAAAGATAACATGAAACTAGTGTATATCTGCGCTCTGGCATTCGTGGTTGTGGAGTTCATTCAGATTATCTTCTCTTGTGTTCTAAGAAAAGACGCAAAAGGTGTCCTCGCCTAAAAACATCAGGCTGGAAAAGTATTGACGAGTAGTATCGGACAAAATATAATGCAACTAGATGCACATTTTAAAAATGAAGATAGACAACAAAAATGATTAATTTAATTGGTATATTAAATCTAAAATTTGCGCCTCAAAAAGAAATTTCGCACAAGACACCAATTGTTGCAGTAGGACAATTCTTGATTCTTAGTAAGTCCATCGCGTTACAAATATGCGTATATAATAATTATTAAAGAAGAAGCATTTCAGCGCTGAAACTTCATCTATTTGACCATATAAGTATAACGTAATAATGTGACCAGCTGACTTTAGTTATATATAATAATAAGACAGTGCTATATTTCTGATTATTCGTTTGTATCAGTAAACGCTGTACACTTGAACCTGTTCAATTTGCGACTCTGATGAAATATTTATCAAATAAAAGCTAGCAAAAAAGAAAATTCTATGAAAAGGCTCTTATGTAGTAGACCTGGGCTTCAGCAGGGATGTTATTTTTTACTCGTGGCATCGATTACAATCAGTAGAATCGCTGACACGTGTCAAAACAAACTTCCAGCTATTACACACTATTTACTGGAACGTGTAAACTTTGTGCTTTTAAAGATTTTTTCGTGTAATATAACTCAATTTAACTCAATTTAACTCAATTTATACTTACATAAAAACATATGCTTACTCTTACGTGTTTTCAAGCATGAAAATAATTCATAATTTCTGTTGCGTTAGAAAATTACTAAAACATGGAAATCTTCCTTTCTTCTGTCTTTCCTTTGTTCATCTGATAAGTGAATTTGTGCAGTGATAGTTTTATAAAGTGTGTTATTTCAGTGGCGCAACTCTGAAGCAACCCTTCGTTCAATCGTATTTAAATGTGTATTCTTATTGCTACCCTAGTTCACAAAATCTCCGAAATGAGGCCGAATTTAAAACTCGATAATGAGATGGCCATATACCGTAGTCATCGTGAGAAGATTTGCAAACACAGTTGCGCTACTGGCAGAAACTTCTACAATATCAATTTTAAATTCAGACAACAGATTTCTATGTTATCTGAGTATGCTGCCATTGATTGTGGTGTTATTTTATATCCTATGTAGTTCTTCAGCTATTAGATATTTGTGTTCTTGGAATCGTGTCATCTTTGTTCGAAACCTCTCAGCGCTCGCCGCTTCCATTTATAAAATTCTGGCTGAGTGCCACTCCTTTGTGATGTAAGAGGGTTACATTATGGAACGCGTATATGCGAATTTTATAATAAATTGTTAGTATTGTAAACCGCGCGCGATTGCTGTGCGCGTAATTATCTTCCAGTTGACTTGACCTAGCTGATGTATTCAATCACATATAATATTGCTCGTTACACAGATAACGTTACAAGTAACAAGTTATTTACTGTCGAGTAGCGTGATGTTCTTTGCTTTCCTATAAAATAAGTTATGTAAAGAGTTTTACAGTAACTGTAAGAATTTCCTCATCCATGTCGCTCCAACTAAACGAAACCTGATACTTAAATTATGCTCTAACGTCGACCATAAGATCATCGCATCGAGCGACGAGTGTGTTGAATGCTATAATGTCGAAAGCGGAAGAGTGACTTGTTTACTGGATATTGAGTACATGGTGCAGATTACTGAAGTACACTGGCTAATGGAACTAAGAGATTGACTCGTGCATCTACTCCAGGTTTTATTTCTAATGGTTAAACTTTTTTAATACTTTCAACACTACTATATAACAAATAGTTTGAGATCATGAATACGATGTTGTCACATTGAAACGTTGAATAATTGCTTTCCTGATAAGAGCCCTTTCCTTGTCGCATCAAACGGGATCAATAGAAATTTACCCAAGAAAACGTTATAAACTTTATGTAATATGTACAAAAAATCTTTGAGACTTTACACTCCCAGTTGCAGTTATAATAGATGACGTAAGAGATGAGTGTACATTCCACACATTCATCAGCTAAACACTTACACCTCAATACTCAGGGAGAGGGAAACAAAGTTTCAACACTGGATCAGTAATAAACACATGACAGTTATTAGTGTCGATACTCTTGGTGGATTCTGGTTGTTAAGTGTTAACCAAAGACTTCTGGCAAACTTTATGAGATTTCGAGTACGCAGCGCATGGGCTGAATGAGTTTTTAATTCTTTATTCGTATATAATATAGCTGAATTTGTTATACTTATTTGATTACTCACTGGCATAACCATAAATGATATAATTGAGCTTTGACGCATACAACTAGACACAAACAGTGTTATACATTACACAATATACACATTTACACTGTTATACATTACACTGGGACCCCCTCGTCCTTTCTTCAAGTGTACACTCTGTTAGCTAACTATTTCCTATACATTCCATACATTGTATACATTGTATACATTCCAACCGGCTGTAAAATGCTGGTTAACACTTAACATGTTTTCCACAGATCGGACGCAGCAAGATCGGTGAACTCGATTTCTGAGTACCTATATGGACACAATACACATACAATAGGCAATGGAATCTGTGTAACCGACTTCTTCACTTCTCATCCAACTGATGAATACAACGTATGAAGTGTCCAGGAGTATACGCCATATCATTAGGCCTTATAAGAGAAGATATGATTTAGATATCTGGTCGACAACTTTCTGATTTCTGATGTACATTTAGCCACTAGGCAGAAGGCACTAAGAAGTAGAACGTGTGTCTTAACCATGTGTGGATTACGTAAAAGTTAGCGTGAAATTGAGGGAAGCATGAACAATGAACATCCTAGCATTATAATGAGTTACATGTTTACCAGTGAGAGTGAGAGCGCTGAGCTGGCTGAATCTCCTGCTTTATTGCTCTTAATTAATTAATTGCTCTTAATGTGTCGATCATTAAATCTAGATAACTAGCCCTGTCTTCATGTTTGATAACGAATTAACTGAATTTTAAGTATTATCGCTAATGGAATTACTAATATCACTCTGATAAGGCAAGCGAGGTGGTGCAAGAGGGATTGGAGAAGGGTCTGATTGATTACGGGAAATTACCCTCTGTGGATGTGGAGAGGGACGAGGAGACTGTCTGGACTACCGGTTAGTTCAATCAGTGAAAATAACAGCTCCAAGGAAACCCTTATTTTTAAATAAAGTTTATAACTGTCAGTAATCCTAGTAAATGGAAGTGTTAACTGTCAGTAATCCTAGTAAATGGAAGTGTTAACTGTCAGTAATCCTAGTAAATGGAAGTGTTAACTATGATTTACTGACGCTACCCTCTTGTCCAGGAATTGACTGGGTACAGGAGAAGTTGGAGTGCTGTGGTATCACTGACGGCTACGACTGGTCACGTAATGCCGGGGCCGCTACTTGGTGGATATCAATCACCGGGGGTAACCATATCAACGATACTCCGGACAGCTGTTGTGTTAAGATTACTGAGAACTGTGGAGTGGGTATGGCGGTACAGGGAGTTCAATCTACTGTGCATGAAGATGTAAGATAATAAACTTAACTACTTAGTTTAGGTATTGTATCCAAATCTATCAAATTCCTAGAATTGTTGATAATTTTTATAATTTAAACTTCTTCAGGGGTGTTTCACGTTTGCTAAGAATTGGGTGGAAGACAAATCAATGATAATGGGCGTGTGTGGATTGATCTTCATTATTTTTGAGATCTTCAACATTATCATCGCCTGCATGCTGAGGAATTCCATGACATCCATCTCTTAAGTCCTTTCTCTGGGAAAATGTAGGATTTGTTTTCTGTGATAGGGGGATAATATTAGGGTTTATTTGAACGATTTTATTAGGTTTTTTTAATAATGAATATTATTCGTTGAGTTTTAGATTTAATTTTATAACCATTTGTATGACCATTTAATTAGCTTCCAATCTAACAAATTGTTTGACCATTTAATCAGCTTCCAATCTAACAAATTGTTTGACAACAGCTTTATTGTTTGACTGACTCTTGACTGTTTACTGACTTTGAAATACAAATTTCGACCAGACTAAATCTGACTGTCATTGTTATGGTTTCAAATTAAATCAACAAATTAACTCATCAGAATGTATCATTAAAAATGCTACATTGATAATATAAACTGGAAACTGCAGACTGACAATTCCAAACATATGGATCGACAAATTGTCTTCAACAAGTTCTAATCAAGTTTCACCTTCAACAAGTTCTAATCAAGTTTTACCTTCAACAAGTTCTAATCAAGTTTCACATCCAACAAGTTCTAATCAAGTTTCACCTCCAACAAGTTCTAATCAATTTTCACATCCAACAAGTTCTAATCAAGTTTCACCTCCAACAAGTTCTAATCAAGTTTCACCTCCAACAAGTTCTAATCAAGTTTCACCTCCAACAAGTTCTAATCAAGTTTCACCTCCAACAAGTTCTAATCAATTTTCACCTCCAACAAGTTCTAATCAAGTTTCACCTCCAACAAGTTCTAATCAAGTTTCACCCCCTAGATCAAGGCATGCAGACCACCTACCTCTCTGATATTAACCTGTTCTTATCAAAGAATGTACCCTACTGGGACAAATTCGGGCGATATCTCCTTATATTCACATTTGTTATTATCGGGAAAAGTGTATCACGGTATCTGGTGAGGACTATCAAGGGAGATAAGAAGAAGAAAGCAACTGTGAAAGAAGCTGAAGAGAAGAAGGATGAATAGATCTGACCAGATTGAAAATAACTCGATATTTTAACTTTCTATTGAGTGTGACAGTAGTGGTTATCATTTTATAATTTATAAGACACTTATTTTAAGTTTTTCGCCTAATCCGTTGTCTACAGAGTTCACAAATGAAGTTTAATGCGCTTCAAGGACATCTGTTTGCGTTTTAAGATAATCATAAGAATCCATTTATAATATTATAATCTATATAAATGATATTTATATTTTATGAAGCTTTCATTACACGGTTGAGATTGTATTATTGGTTTTATATTGTGAGCAGTGCGAGAAAGATAAATTAGCGAGGGAACGAGAAAGGAAAGAGTGTTGTGAGCTAACAAGTCTGTGAGTCTGTGAGTTAGTGAGCAAGCAAGTCTGTGAGTCTGTGAGTTAGTGAGTTAACTAGTCTGTGAGTTAGTTGCTGATTTAATTTCTGTTCAAAGTTTTGTCTATTTATGTAATCGTAGTTTGGTTTGTAAAGTCACGTGTTTGTTCTCACGTTATCAATACTGCGTAGCATGTCACAAATGTTCGGTTGCAAGTGCCGCCGGTTGCTATGTCCACGCTCACGGTTGCTAGGATAAGAAAATGAGACTCTTAACATTTTCAGGTACTTATCCTGACTCATTAATGAGCACCACTCAGCATATTTACAGCGTGTCTTTTCGGATCCTGATTGATCAAATTTATCATTAAAATAATGTGCTTGATCCACATATCACATCCTCTTATTTTCTGGTTCGGAATCGTTCACATATTAAGTTAAAGCTAGATTTATCCCGTTTTCCACCTCCAGAAGCTCCCCTATTCTGCTTTAACGTAATATTTGGACGATTCCTTAATCGCATGAGATTTTCTGAGATTTCTGTCATATTTAACGAAACTGTAGCTGAAATGTTATTTCAGGCGATAAAAGCCAGCCACTCTGGGTTTGTAACTGCTGTAGCTAACTATGATCCCCGTGATGATAGCACTACTGGAGGTAAGAAAAACAGTGGAAACAAATGTTTGTTTCCAGTTGTGCCCTCCGTGGTATTTCCGGACAGCAGGTCTTCAATCTGCCCTATTTTTATCTGTTAACAGATACACGAAGAAAATGTTTACAATTGAAATTAGTTGAAGAGGATGATATTTAAAACGATTAAAACATATCCTATTCAGGCATTGATTGGCTACAGAAGCACTTAGATTGCTGTGGTATTCAGAACGCATCTGATTGGCGAGAAAACGCCCAAAAAGCTACGATATGGATTAAAACCTATTTCAACAGCGTTCCAGACTCTTGTTGCAAAAGGTATTGAATTTATCACTAATAACTTGCTCAATGTTGCTCAATGCTTCAGCGATGAAGACATTATCTGTGGGGTGGTCATCGCTATTAAAGAAATTTTCGGCGAATATTTTGTACCATTTAATTGTTCACCTTTTTTTTTTCAAGGAAAAAATAAATAATAATATAACGGAAACAATAGATATTATTTTGTAATTCTTCTACGAAAACATTCCTCAACATTATTTTACCCAGGCTGAGGGACCAGTGGAACCCAACTCCCAAATGCGGGGAAGAACAAGGAATGGGGAATAGTCCACTCATCCACAACGGGGTAAGAATTGCACAAAAGGGAATAATCAACCTGTTATAATAAAATAATTATTTTCTGAGTTTGTCAGTAAATGCGAGTTTGGAGCCTCTACAATTTAAACTATAAAAACGTTAAAAAAAGTTGTTCATATGGCTAAATACAAATTCACATTGAACCTTAATACCCCCTCCTAAAACTGTGACATTGATAGGGTTGCTACGAGAAGATGGTAGCTTGGATCTACACATACATGCCTATGATGGGGGTCATGGCTCTGGCGTTCATTCTCTTCGAAGCTGTTGTTATCCTGATTACCTGCGTTCTCAGGAGAGATGGCTTATCTCCGGTGCCTGTCAGAATACAGTAGCCGAATAATCGAATAGACAATATCTGCTGAGGAGGATGACACGTGGTATTGCCACGTGATATTACCACGTGATATTACCACGTGATATTACCACGTGATATTACCATTTTATTTGGTCGAGGTTAAATTAACGGGTTTATTGGTTACCAGGTTACCAGGTTACCACGTTACCAGGTTACTAGGTTGCCCTGCACTATATACTGTTTATTTATATTACGATAAAAGGACACTAATTCGGTTGATGAGCATTTGAGAGTTTATCCAATGCTTTACTATAGAACTCCATTATCTTCGATTTATAATTAATGATAAGGATCATTGTATCTTAATTGTTGGATGTCGGATTTATTATTTCAAATCTTATGCAGATAGTTAGCAGTCATTCTTTATATCAAGCTAATACATTTTAATATTGACTGATATTTCTTCAGCAAATTTTATTTCAGCAACGTTTTAAAAATACATATAATATTCAGGTTATAATGATTCACAAAATATGTTTTAAGATCCACATTCCACAGTACTGTGCACGCAATATGATCCGGTCCTCGCTTATAAAGTTAGACAATATTAACAGAGTAGATATATAATGTAAATGGTGTTTTAACAAGTATTCTATCTGTTGTTAATTTTATTAAAGGTTATAGAATCTTCCAATTCCACGTTAGTGTACAGTTGTAGTTTGACTTGAGTTCATTCAGATGATTGAATCATATATGGTCAAGTTCGGAGACAACCTGTACATAAAATCAGTCACTAATTACACTCATTTCACTGCCATAAACGGTAAAATTAATTATAATTCCTCTGACAGTCCAAGGGGTACAGGCTCTTCAGAAATTATACTCCTAACCTTTCTACAATGATATCTGGGTTCAAAATTTAAATAACTCAACCTTGGTGGAGACAGTGGCCACCTGAAAATTACAAAAATAAAGGAGCTGTAAATCACTTATGAAAAAAATATTTACTCCAAATTTCACAATTTAAAGTTACGTAAGACAGGTGGGTACTCAAAAAGTGCCGGTTGAGCAGGTTTGTCTGCTCAACACAGGTGGAGCAGCTCACTGACTACATGAGCTAATATAAGTGACTAGAACTAACCCTCTTATGCTTTTTAATTGCTCCAAAGTCCTAATATTTAATATTATGGGTTATACCAAACATATTTCATAGAATAGGATCCTCAGAATCGGCTCAACCGAGGTGGAGACAGCATAACATGCAGTTCAAAATCTGTTATTCTGTAGTTTAGGAGCTGTAGAGTGACTGTGGCAGTCCATTTGCAATACCAATGATTCTAAATCATCTACCAACTCATATTACACGGCATCCTTGCTGAAAAGTACACTCAACATAGGTGGAGACTCAAATTTGGCAAATTTGGGCGTAAATTTGACCTCAGAAGTCAAGGTTCTCCACCGCGGTTGAGTGGTTGATGGCTAGTTTGATGAGTTGTATACATGCTTAAGGGTCACCCAATGTTATTTCTTCCAGAAATCAACTGCCAAAGCTCAACTCAACCCGGTGGGGCCAGTTTTAATGCATTTTGTAATGTTTTAATGTTTAATCAACAATTTCTCCACCTTGTTGAGCACCTTTTCACAACTTTGATAGTCTTTTCATTTGCTAGAACACTTTACTTTAAGACAGAAGGGGTAACAGTTTTATGATCCCCTACAGTAGCAGTTAACAGAGCAGATTAGAATTAGTGATAAAACCAATGAATTTAGGCATGTTTGACAGGCTTTTTACTGTTTCTTAATGAAAGATCTCCACCCTGTTGAGCGTCAATGGAAAAAACAAAATTTAACGGGAAGTAGAAAAGGCCGAGACGCAACTTTCTAGCTAACCTAGAACTCTCTAAACCTTTCTCCACCCCCGGTTGAGCAGCTTTGAAAAGTTCATTTAATTTCTCCACCTCGGTTGAGCACTTGAATAAAATATTGATAACACCATCAGATTGCAAATTTGATGTAGTTTGTGTTATAAATAACCTTTTCCACCTTAATCAAAAGTTTCTTCAACCAGAGCCAGTCTCCACCTTAAATCTCCACCTTTTAAGGGTTTGTTTAATACCACCTGTATCTGCTCAACCGTTCAACCTTTTAATTTTATTTTTTTACTCAGAGAAAGTCCTGAAAAATGTCTTGTCAGCCATATAATCAGGGAGTTTCAGTGTGTGTTGAGCTGGCTCCACCACACACTTCTAAAAAAGTAAAAAATGTACAGGTTGTCTCCGAACTTGACCATATTTAAAGCAGTACCATATAACGCTTTTTTATCAGAATAAAGTGTACAATCTTTAATAGTTCATGGATGTCTACCAGAATAAATTTAACGATTTTTATCAGAAATTATGTTCTATCAGAATTAATATACCAGAATTTATTACATTTAAAATGATAATCGATGTCAATTACGATTAGCTTACAATTTCATGATATATAACAGACCATCATTATTTCATGATGAGGAAGGATGTTCATTTTTCATACGTGTTTTTAAGATTTTTATTTGCAGAAATATGGGTTAGTTGAGCTGTTATATATTGAGTTTGTTGATATCGCATAAGCTATCAGTATTCAGCAATGTTGATCTTTAGACGCGGTTAATACGACATCTGGTCGAGATTGAAATGTTGAATGAAGGAGTAGCTTGTTTAAGCTGATTCTTTCCTAATTGTCGAAAGATGAACATTGAATATGTGTACTGTGTGTATTCAGTTATTGACGTTAATTCGTTTTAAGTGTTTATTTATATTTGTCAACATTATTTCAACTTCAAGTTTAAGTTCAACAATAACCAAGTTGTAATCCTTGAATATAACGTTCGTTTATTGACTAGACTAGAAACCGCACTGAATGGTTTAAGTGTCACAGGAGTCTGGGAAGGAACACAAGTGACTTGAATTGTAATCATGGTTAACAAAATAAGGCTCAAACAATAGTTCACCATCTTCCTACATTATACTGCGGTGAATCTATATCGGAAGGACAATGGCCGTACCGCCAATATAAAAAAGATCGCAGGTACGACCACTGACTAACACCAGTAGTGTACAGTTGTACAGTAGTGTACAGTAGTACAGGGTCGTCCCATCTATTTATCGCTCTCTCCGGCCTCTGACTCTTGCAAGCGTCTTAATATCCGCTCTTCAACCTCGCATTATCAAAGTATCAAGCTTCTCAGTCGACGGTATTTCCCTCCGGCCTCTCAGTTCCCACTCCCGGCCGTCAGCATCTTTCTCATTCTTAAGTCTACTGCTCTAACTGACTGAACGGGCCTTTGATCCCAGCTTCAGGCTGTCTGCGTACGTGGTCGGACTTCTTACCACCGGGGTGGGCTGTATCGATCACGTGATATGACCGTATATAAGGAAGTTAGTCTAATTTCTCGTTAGGGTTAGGATTTCAGCATATGTTTTTGTTAAGGATAGGGTTAGGGTTACTGTTAGGGTTGGGATCAGATTAGAGGGTTAGGGTTTCGAAAAGTCGTTCAGAACCAGCTAGAGAACGGGTAAAAAAGTCACGTGACAGCCGAGTGTAGAGTGATTAATCATCATCCGCATTTGGCTCTAATTCGCTCGCCCAAAAATTTCTCGTGACTTTGGTTTTTATGGTTTTACAGCCGTACAAAACGGTTTTACATAAACCCTAATCCCAACCCTAACCATAACCCCGAAGCTATCCATAACCCTTACCACAACCCTAACCCTAACCCGAGCCCTAAACAATAATGTTTTACTAGCCTGTCACGTGACCAAAACGGTTTTTTGCCCATAACTCTCCAGGGAAGCATTTTTACCCTACGTCATGGGGGATGTTTCGGAATCAGCGTACAAAATACACCGATTAAGATCAATTTCGTACCCAAAGGGCCTTTTCACAAGAATTTTCTTAAAATTTGGGCGAGCGATTTAGTACAGTAGGAGCGTCCGCATCGGCATATAATGCATGACGCATGTTTTCTATTGTTCTTGCCCTATAGACTTAGCTTTACTCAACTCTTCGTGCAGTGCCAGCTGCCAAACTTTGCATTTGAAACTTGAGTTTGATCCTTTTATATATTACTAAATTAATGTTGTATCACGTTGTGACCCCCACGGTCGTTTCATTATGGTCCTGACGATACAGGGGGAGCCGCGCACTTCGTGCGCGGCGGGTCATACAACGTATGGCAAAATTAATCGGGGTGGGGTTCTAGCCACAGCCAAGTACAAAGTATTTGACGGATGTTACTCGTCTAAATTTCTTCGAAGTAGCGCGCGCGCCGCTTTCTTCTCGAAATGGCAAGTGCTACGAAGTAGCGCGCGCCGGGGGCCAAACCATTAATTTTAACAATAACAATGGTAAAATTTTAATTTAATGTCATGTGCAGGGGTGATTCGGAATCAGCGTTCGAAAATACATCGAATCACTATCAGGTAGATTTCAATTATAAAACTTTCAGGGGCCCTTTTAGAAAAATTTCGAAGATCGACTCATGTAAAGTAATCTAGCACGCTTAAAAATACCTTGATTCAGGTTAGAAAAATTTCAAAGATCGAGTGTAAAATGATTTAGCAGGCTGTTGATTAACGGGTGATACCCGTAAAATATTTTTTCCAAATATTAGGACCGTCGACGAGTCCAACTCGGCGCGCGTCCTAGTAGGTTATAAACCTACAAGCTGTTGATAATTCGATCGCCTTAAAATTATTACGTGACTTTAGTATTCATGGTTTTGCAGCCGAGTCTGCCTTACTGGGCCGCGCTCAGTCTGTCATTCCGCCTAATTTCTATGTTTAGGGGTCATTCACATATTACGTAGTCAATATTTTGGCAATTTTTACCCCCCCTCCGTAATCAACCGTAATCAAGACCAAAGACCGAAACCCCCTAATATTACTATTAGTATTACGTAATCAAGGTTTGACCCCCCTGATTTAATTTTATTACTATCCATTACATGTTCATGTTAAGCCATTTATTTATTAAAAGCTATCACAAAGGATTAATGAATGAAATAATCGAATCGCAAAGCACTTACTAAACGAAAATTGGTTTAATTATTTTGATTACATAATTACATAATTAACGAAAATCGTCCAATTGGTATTTCGAAAATCGGTAAAAAATTAAAATTTTGATTACGTAATCAACGACCAAAACCCCGGCCCGGCCCCCCTCCCGTAATCAACCGTAAGCATTTGAAACCCCCCCTCGGCTGATTACGTAATATGTGAACGACCCCTTATGAACATGATAGCCTGAGCTGAGGCTCCCAGGTAAAGTCTTCCGATCGAAGCAAAATGGTTTAACATAAACCCTAACCCTATTATATATGGCCCTGACCATAAGTCATATTAACCGGAAGTTATCCATAACCCCGAAGCTATCCATAACTGAAAACCATAACCGTCAACCCTAATAACCCTAACCCGAGCTGAGGGTATGAAAGTAATTTAGGTTCACCGTACCAGCCAATTCTATTTTAATTTTATTCAGTCTAATTGTTACATAATGCATAATGTATTTGTCGGAGTCATGCTATGGATCTGTAAAAGGTGTATATAAATTGCACGTAAATTTTCGAACTATAACTATATAAAGTATAAACACTATTAAAAGGAGAAACATTGGACACATGGTTCGGACAAATCATTTTTAATATTATTTCAGACAGTCCCAACCAGACCTCATTGTTTGACTTGAATATAAAAAACCAGCAGCACTAACAGCTGTAAACATTTCGGATTGTAAAAAACTTCCTCTTATCGGTAGTCCTACATGAAGCTCTGTGGGCAGCCAAGTTTTGGTACGTTCGCCTTCTTCACTTCCTTTGAGGGACATAGCCTGGTTTCGGTCTCCCAAGCTTCCATTTCTATAGGTGCAATTTTGTTTCCGTCCACGTCCCATGTTGCTGTCGAACATTTCATCGCGTAGGCTTCTGCAGCATTGCAACCAGGCCAGAGAACTTTGTCAACTTTGGGGATTACCATCCAAGGGTAGAGGTTGTTTTGAAGGTGGATTCCTTTGCACTGGTCGTAGATGCAGGCGTCCATATAGGGCTCTTTGTCGTGCAGACAGTCTCTGAACTCAGTAGTAGTAAAGATCTTCTCGCATCGCTGTTGAGCTTTAGAGAATTTCTTAGCTCCACAAAGTTCCTTCATCTGGTCCATGGTAAGGGCAGGTTCTCCCGCGTCACATTTCCAGTTCCTGTCCACTTTCATACTCTCCGAGAACAATAGCAGATCAGCGTTGGAGGTTCCCCAAACATCAAAGTCGTTGGCTGGGTCCTGGTCGTTGTTTCCGCACAGTCCCTGAGTTAGGGCGGTTTGAGGAGCTTCTATCGTTACTGCGGTGAGTCCGTCCCATGTTAATACCAGGTGGTGCAGTATCTTGAACCCGTGCGTCTTCTCCACCTTCAGCAAGAGAGAAACTTTCAAAGTGTTTCCTATAAACTCCAATTCAAATTCTCCTACTTTGATGGGCTTAGTCAGGTCCCTTGTCTCCATCTTTTTCCCCTTGTGGTTCACTATCCATCCTCTCTGCAGCTCAATCGCGTCCCCTCCAGCGTATACAGTGACCGATTCCAGACATACTCCCTGGGCGAGGCTACCGCATGGTCTCATTCTGCCGTACATAAACCAGGTACCGGCATCTTGGTCTAAAGCCATGACGTAGTCACAACTTGCACCAGGGAGATTGAAGATCGCCCCATCGAATGAGACAATGTGAGGGTCCCCGAAGACCTGAAAGAAATGACTTTTGTAAATTATTAGTGTTTTTAAGTTTAAGTAGTTTAGTATTTAGTTAGTTAGTAGTAGTTAGTACTCTTTTTGTATATTTACATCTACCATTGGGGTTGTTCACATATTACGTAATCAGCTAGGAGAGGGGGGGGGGGGGGGGTTTCGAATGATTACGCTATTGTAATTTGGACACAATAGCCATGTGTAAAACTGATTACGGAGGGGGAGGGGGGGGGGGGGTAAAATGTTCCAAAAAATGATCACTTAATATGTGAACGATCCCATTTAGCAAATCAAATTCCAACGAGAAATATGTTGATTGCCAGCCGTGCAAAATTACACGATATCATCAATATTTTCAACACCACCAACCATCCAGTTCTAGTGATACAGTAACATAAAATATATTAATCCTTCACGTACATGACATAATAAAAGACAATACCTGACATGAGGATCGAGGACTTTCGTAATTCACATTTGGTCCCCCGGTTGGTATCACCGTTGGCGATGATGAGCTAGAGCCCTGTTCTTCCCTACGGGGATTAGGCTCATCTGGCGCTCCTTGACGTTTCAAGACTTTTACATAGAACTTGGCAAGGCTGATATCACAAGATTGTAAATCACTTCCAAGGTAGATACAAGCCCTGCACCGGTACCATCCTTGGTCACTTTTCTCAGCAGACGTCTTGTACACGTAGACTTCTGCTACTTCAGTGATGTCGATTCTTCCCTTTGGACTTGGTCGGGATTTTGTGCTCTTAGACTCATCCACCCACCAGTTGTGTTCAGCTGTTAGGAGATATGTTGTCAGTGTGAGATTTTGGAAACGTTTATGGGCTCTCTTTTCCCCTTCAGATTGCAGTGATTTGTGCTCGACATTCAAAATGATCATCACAATCCCCTTTAAGTTTTATATAATCAACAGTAAAAATATTGGTTCTCCCGCAACTTACTGCTACTCAAATCCCTACTGGGCTCATCTTCGTAGATCAGACTCAAAGTCAAATCATGTTTTGGCCAGTTTGGTAAATGATCAGCTGTGTCCGATGCACTACATTTTATATCCACAAAGTCACCAACCCTCACGGTTTTACTTTGAGGATAAGAATCGATCACAGGATAGGGATTTGGGTCAAATGCTCCCAAAATTCCAACCTGAAACAATGTGTTGGTATCCCAGGAATAATGTCAAACTTGTGAATATTTTGACTCACAAACTTAACAATATTTAATATATTGAGTTGACCATAATTCATCTTTAAACACAATGATTTTATTAACTATAATACGTGTAATACTGTGTTAACTCTATTAGTATTACAAGATAAGAGGCAAAATGGATGACAGGCTGAGCCCCACCCAGTAGAACGATACAATCTATAATAACCAGAGGGAAAATAAACAAACGAAAGCTTACCCCTTCCGGTGAAGTGGAGCTGATGGGTGGGATTGTGGTGGAATCTAACGGCGGAAGTTCAGCCTCACTCGACGTGCTATCACTTATTGTTGCCGCCTGAGAAGAAAATTTGCTTATTACATAATATTTTATTATCCATTAGTATTAGTGTTAGTATTAGTATTATAGATTTGAAGATGACTTCAAGAGTTCAAGATTTTTGTTCATAAACATGTGCCGAGTGGACAAAACCTCGGTGGACAAAACCTCGGTAACAAAGTGCACTTGTAGTCGTTCAATTAAAATTATTTCCATCCAGATTGCAGAACTTACGTCCAAAACATTCACTAAAATTTAGAAAGTTTAGTTTTAAGAGTCTAACTATAAGTAAAATCTAAAACATCAGAGCAAAACCCCCAGCAAAACGACAAACGTGATGCGTCAGGTATAAATCAATTACAGACGGAGTTTCTATCCTAACTAAACGCCAGATGGTGATTTTAGAGGGTAAACGTCATGACAGAATATAACCGAGACTTATAGCAGACGAGTTTTATATGATATTAAAGTTTAAAATGATGAAAATGTTCCAATATCACTGCTGAAAACTAATAAAAAAGGTCGCAAATAAGCCTAGGTCCCTTAATATCAGCTCCAGTGCTCCTGCAGTGTAGCAACCATGAAGCAGGACTGGTGCATACTAATTACTAAACGGCCTCTTTTATCTAAGTTTACTCTCCGCTACGAAATGTTTTGACCACTCTTTTACTCTTTTACTCACACATTATAACATTGTAATTTATATAGTCCCATCCACAACATGCATTATCACGATTCTCCTTAATATTACAAATGTCCCAATATTTACCAGACTGAGTTTGTCATTGTCCACATAAAGAATTATTAAACCCCGCTCTATGAGTTACATATTTGTCAATTCAATTGAATTAGAAATCAATCCATGTTCATAGCTTGAGTCTGACCGTTCATGGTATGTTTGTAAATGGGTCAGAAACACCTAGATTGATACAAAACTGATCATCATAATTGGAAACAATGCTATTATACCCGAATATACGTACTTCGACAACAAAGAGTGCTAGAAGCACTAAAACAAGCCTCTGCATCGTCGATCGAAAAACAACCGAAATTAAAAAGCAACTTGAGAACTTGAAAAGAACGGGATATATTATGTACAAAATGTAATATTATTTGTGCAAATATTATGCAAACGCTGCAAAACAAAAATAAAAACTTATACTGAGTAGTCAGTAAAATGAGTTAACGTCATTGTTTACCGTGTCTGCAGATCTTATAAAACGCGTTGAAATCGTCCTAAGACCGTCTAAATCACCTAACCTCAACTGTGCATTTATTTATGAAAAAGAGTTGAACTTCGTCGTGCCGCCGTGTGAATCAGACCCTAAAAATAAAACCCTATTGAAGTATTGAGATACTAATGCCGTGTTAATGCCTGGTCGTAAGGTTCTTCTGGCATTTGGAGAGTTCAACAGTTTCTAATATGTTGACGGATATATTTCCATTATTTACTGATTATCTCAAGTACTTAAATTGAAAAATTGTGTCTTATGCTATTGCTAATTGCTATCCATATTTAACTGACTAATTGGTGAGCGGAGTTAATTTAGGTCAAAACAGTCAAATGTCGGTACTAGAAATTTCATATTTGAAAATGTACTACCGGTACATTTAGGTGATTTTTCATAATTAACTGCTTTCTCCAGGAATCTAACTTCCAATACTTTTGGTGATATTCCACTATTAATCTGGGAATCTAACTTCCATTCCATCAATCGTGTCTTATGCCGTCCATTGTTAATTGACTAACTGGCCATATTTAATTGTATCATTGTAACATTGAAAGACATTATTCATATTACAGTTGAATAAAATAATGGTATCACAGCGGCATCACAGATATCGTTGGAACATTGATGGTACTGAATACTGAATTTTATTAATGCAATATACTTATACTTTGAGGGATTGGTGAATGAAATATCAATAATGCTGAATTTTCAAAAGCGAACCGCTGCTGTAATTATCTATCAATCGATATTTTAGTCCAAGGCGTGAGTATTTTAATTTATAGTTATTTGGAATGAGATAGAAGCGGATGCTCACAGTCCTTAATTTGTTTCAATTGCCTGGATACTGAGATATGAGTATGATGAAAGCTATAATATTGTGTATTCGCTATTGTATGATACCAATTCAGTGTAATACTTGTCAAATCCGGCATTAATATTATTATTACACCTATACTACTTGAGTATTGTTACTTGTTTGTTTGTTTGTAGAACCCGTCCCAATCTCGTATCGGAAACTGACTAAACTCATTTTTGAGTGTGAATACGGGTGGTACCTGCAAGTGTGTTCATTAAGCATTTAGAGTTCTGTAAAACTGCAGTTACAATTGTGCTAGAGTATTTTTAGTATATACGGTCGATATCAGGTCTAAATCCCTACATGCTTCCAAAATTTGTAATCTCCAACTTTCTGCACAATGTACTGGAATGTTTTGGAAAAAAAAGGAAAATGATATAAAAAACGATTTAATGTTAGGATCAAGGTAAATTTGATTCCCTGGTTTCTTAAGTCAGCTTTAAAGTCGGAAAAACAAAATATGTAGGGTCGATACCAAACCGATTATTGAGCGATGATAGCTAAATAGTTGTTTCCTGGGATACTATACAGAGTCCTCCTGATTCCTCAGTCTTTGAGTGTGGTTGTTGCTCTTGTTCAGTTCTGTCCATATTTCCTCGTGTTATGTTCAAAGTTTCGGAGTGTCATGTTGTCCTGGCACTGAGTTCTGTCCATATGTTATGATCAAAATTTTGGGGTTTATGTTGTCATTCCTCTGACGAAATGATTATAAAATAGTGATAGATTTAATCAAAGGAAAGGGCTAATTTGTGGAGCTAAACTGTCCAAGTGACGAGGTTTAACTGCCGTGTTGCTGGGTAGTGGGTACATGTTGAATTAGTTCTCCTTGATGGGTAATTAGAGAAGTGTTTTATAAATAAATGATACGGGCCGCAGTTCTCCTTGGTGAGTAATTAAATGGTTAAATGAAACAGGCCGTAGGAAATCCGAGGTAAATTTCCGAGTAGAAATCAATTATTAAGATAAACGCTATGATCGGGTTGTGTGGCAGGTAAAAAGTTGGGTAGGTTGATAATTTGATAGAAGAAATGATGGAGGCAGTTAAACAAGTAAAGTGAAAATAATTGGCGGGCAATTTGGCCGGTATCCAATTTATGAAGAACAAAAATTTATGCTCTGGTGCAATGAAACGGTGGACATGAAGTTGTGGAACACAACAAGAAAATAATCTTGTGCGAGGGTAGGGACCCAGATGTCGTTTCTAACCCAAATAAACTTTAAGGAGGCTTCTTATCAGTAGCCGCACCTCCTTACTCGGTTTCTGAACTGGAATTCTATGGGCTTCCAGACGGCCAGACCGAGTATTACCATCCCATCCTTCTAGAGTTCATCACAAGAGCAGTGTGAATCTGCTCAATAAATTAAATATGTACCTGTATTCCTATAGAGAGTTCCCTTGATAGATGTTTTATGGATAAAAAGAATGCTGTGTGAAAATATGAATAGACAGATATGAATAGTTTAAAAGAAAGATATGCTTCAAATGGTGCTGGAGGATAGGTTTTCAAGTTATCCTGGAGTAGCATCTTATGATGATTGATATGAACTGACACATAAGTGCAATGACAGGTTGACTGGACGACACTAATTATGATAATATAATAACATGATGAAGCCGCAAAACTGGAACTAAAAAATGTGAGCGAAAGAGTTGTTTTAAAACAATGCTGGAATATTGAACAATTAATATATGAATGTGTTACCATGTGCCTTTAAGATAGCACATATTGAATCTGCTCGAGTAAATATGCGTGTGAAGGAAGATACATATTAGTATTCCCAGAGCGGGTTTCCAGGAAAGGTGGTTCAGAGATAATTAAAATAAATGTGTTAAAATTTGTAAAGGATGATATGAATTATGATTTCTAAGCAGGTTTTGGAGGATAGGTTACCAAATTAATATGGAGTAGCATCTTATAATGATTGATATGAACTGACACATAAGTGAAATGACTGGATGACTCGTAATATGATTTTGTAATGTTATGATGAAGCCGCAAGATTGAATTTTAAATTTGTGAATGATAGAGTTGTCTTAAAACAACAGATTTTTTAATCATGTTACCAAATCTTCAACGGGGTCTTTGTTGTCTCTGTCGAAGTAGATCGAGCCATCTATTAAGTATTAATTGTATCAGGATGCCTCTCCAATTTCTAAACCAACATAGACTTCTCAAATACCTTACTAGGGAATATTATAGCGGGTTAATTTATGACCGGGAAAATTAATGACCGGGAAAAATATGGCGGACTTTCCCAAAACCCGCCAAATTATCCCGGTCATGTATTTCAAGTTTTTTTTCAGAGGTCAACAAATTTTCAACCGAAATTTCTGTTTTTGTTACTTGTTAAAGAAGTTATTTCAATTTACAGTTATTGATATTACTCAGAAATAGAAAAAAAGACACGTCTATTTAAAGGAAAATAAACCTAAGCAATAATAAGTTTTCCGGAACAGGATCCGTTCGAGGACCTATGAAGCCCAGGGATGTTACAGGGATTTTATAATTTAAATTTAAATTACATGAACTGCTAACAAGCAATTTGTTTTATACCTGCACTGATTATGATAGAGCGCTAATAATCATTTTTAAATTGTGTACATATACAACAGTTTTTAGTTGACGAGAGGATGACATCATTTGTTTGTTTTTTAATTAATTAGATATATGAAACGTTAATCTACTTTTGAAATTTGTTTATCTAATGACTGTTTCATTTGTTTGTGAGTACACTCCGGAAATCAAAATATCAGCTGCAGCCTCTCAAAACAGTGCGATTAGTTTATAATCGTAATTGCTAGCAATTACTAGAATAACAACAAAGTAGGTGCGATTATAAACTAATTACACTGGTTATAACATCAGAGGCGTGGAGTTATACGCGAATCTAACTGCATGTATAATACGATTACACCAGTTATTGCACTCGGCTGCGCCTCGTGAAATAACTGCAATAATCGAACTCGGCTTCGCCTCGTGCGATTATTGTATCAATTTCCACTCGGCTGCGCCTCGTGCAATTAATAGTGTAATCGCATTATACGCAGTTAAATTAGCGTATATAATATATATTAAATATTATTATTACTTTCGTTTTCTTCTATAACATATAAATTGTTTTTTTCTCTACGATTCACTGATTCATGGGCAAGAGAAGTGACAACCACGGTCCACCCTGAAATCTGATTTCTATAACCAAATTGTGATTTTTATAACGAAATTATGGTAGCAACCGCCAATAAAGTTACAGCCCTCCATCCACTGCTTCAAAAGTCTTCTCTAGCACATATGAGACTTCAGGTGAAATATTATGATCACCACCCCTTTGGAACCCCATAATCTGAGTCGGCGGGTTTTTTTATGACTGGTAAAATTTTTGACCGGGAAAAATATGGCGGAATCTTCCAAAACCCACCACTTTATCCCGGTTATAATATTCCCGAGTAAGGTAGTTAAACCAAGCTCCTGTAGCTGATTTTCTAGCTGCGAATGAACCGAGCAACAATCCTTTAGTCGGATTCATGAGTCCACAATTTTACCCTGTTCGTTTTGTGCGAACACTACTAGACGGGAAAAAATTATCATAAATATTACAAGAGCTACCACACTAGTCAGCCTGGTTACTCTAACATATTCGTCTGCAGCTGGTCAATACTATGGGCATAGTGGTGTTTCTCGGGTGGTTAGTCACCTTTGGGAATAGGGAGATTTTCACCCATAAAAGGAGTTGTTGTAGCAGTATAGAGAAATTCAAAGTCTAGTTTGTGTTGAGACCTCTATCCAGGGTCGGGAGTTAGCAAATTAAGATAATGACAAACTACGCCTAAAGGATTACAACCCTTTCACTCTTTAGTCTTAAAGTTCCTCCTCTCAACATATTTCCCTCAAAACAATGATAAGCCCCTACTAATAAACCGGTAAAACTAACGACAAATCTCAGATAAGATTTGTATATTGTTAAGGTCATATTTCAAGCAGAGCTCTCTTTTGAGAAGATTTCTCTGCTCGCCAGACTGACTATCTGTTCAGCAAGCGTAATGTCCAGGATGATGAGTACTTGGTCCTGTTAGCAG